CCTATCATCTGCTTCTCCTTTTGCACTCTCTCACCACCTCTTCACCTTTCTTTTAACGTCTCCACATACCTATCTACTCTTCTTATAACACATCTGCTCTTTAAAATACTTCTCATAAGCGACCTTTTTTTCTCTTTTATCACACCCTTGACTTCATCATTGCCACCAATCCTCCCTCTTTCCCTCTGCCACCCTCCCCTCCTATAAACCACAAACTTCTGCCCCACATTCTGATACTGTAATTTTTTAAAACTATTTCCAAACCCTCATCAAAACCTCCCCCCCCCCCCCCCACACTACTCATACTGCACCAGCCCACCTTTCTGCCAATAGTGCTTGTAGTTTTGACCCAAACCTTTCTCCTCCCTTAGTTTATACACTTTCATTCACCCTCCCCCTACTTGTGTTACCAGTTTCCTCTATCCGGTTCCTCTTACTCTAACGTACGCTACAATTAGATAATTATCCATATATCAGTTTGCCCCTCTATAAACTGTCCTTCCTGAGCCTACCCATCAACCTTTTATCCACCAATACATGATCTAACAAAATACTTTTCATTACATGCATGTCATACTTTGTATATTATTTATATCCCTAATACTCGTAAAATAAGTATTACTTATTACAAAACCTCATTCTCACATAGCTCAATTAAAGGTCTTTGCCCATTTTCATTTACCACACTGGCACCCCAAATTTACCCTACTACTCCTTCCCTCCCACAACATTTTTTTACCCACTTTAGCATTAAAATCCCTACAACCCAAGTACTCTCACACTTGGTTCAAAACTCCCTATGCATTCACTCAACATTTCCCAAAATTCTCTCTCTCTCCTCTAAACTTCTCTCTTCTCAGTGTATATCACTATAAACTATAACCCACTTCTCACATCCAACCTTTATTTTACTCCACATAATCCTTTGAATAATACATTAAAGTCCCTCTTTTCCTGCCATAGCTTATTCCTTCAACATTATTGCTAACTCCCTTCTTTAGACTCTAACTCTATTTGAAACCCCTGACCTAATCCCATTTATTCCTCTCCACTGAAACTCACCCACCCCCTTCAGCTTTGTTTCACTTAAAGCCAGGACATCCAGCTTCTTCTCATTCATAACATCCACAATCATCTCTTTCTTATCATTTGCTCAACATCCACGCACATTCAGACTTCCCACTTTGACAATTTTATTCTTATTCTTTTTAGTAATTATTGTAAAGTAAAAGGACACAAGTGCAACTAATGTGACATTTTATTGTGGCAACGTTTCGCTCTCCAGGAGCTTTATCAATCCATGACAAACAATACGTGGACACAGAGTGTATATATAGGCTCAGAGTGAGGTGCAATACTAGTGGTAGTAGTAGTAGTAGTAGTAGTAGTATGAACAAAAGTTTAGTATAGTAGTTAATAAAATATTGTATGAGCAATTAATCCGTACATGAGTAAAAGGATTAAAAGCCTGTTACTTTGTAAACAAAAATAGGTTGGATAATATAGAACTGATAGAGCAGCCTGATTTCCGTATGTGCTTTGTGGTAGTATAACAAAGAGACGATGTATGGCAGGTTTACTGTTTCAGGAGGATTTCTTGCTAAGACTTCAGAGATGGTGGAGCTGCCCGTTGTTTTGTTTAATTGTATTCGAAACTCGATCAGTGCTGATTCCGGCACTTGTGTCTGAGGAAATTAGTTTCTTCTTTGATCACTAATTGGCGTCCCTGAATTTCATGAGATGATTGGTGGAATTTCGGTGTTGTACACAGGCGTGTTTCAAGTTATCGTTCTTACATGCTAAACTGTTCATTAGGCGGGTGTCTAGGTTCTTCTGTTTCAACCCTGCGTAAATCTTGTTCACCCTCAGCCTCCACAGGATATAGTGTAAACTCCTGCTTGACTGGTTCCGTGGTGCTTGGATTTCGTCCTGGTTAGATCGCTTCTAGCATCTTCAATAAAGATCTAACCATGACAAAATCAAAGCACCACGAACCAGTCAACGCAGGAGCTTACACATACCCTGTGGAGGCTGGTGACAAGATTTACGTAGGAGAAACCGAGCAAGAAACCTCGAAACCCCACCCTCAATGAACACATTTTACGCATGTAGGAACATAACATGAACAACGCCTGTTACAACAACCGAAATACCACACAATCATCCATGAAATTCAGGGACGCCCAATTAGTGATCAAAGAAACTAATTTCCGCATACCGCACGTGCCTCGAATCAGCACTGATCGCTGTTTCGAATACAATTAATCAAAACAACGCACTTCACCTTCTCCCTCCTCTGAAGTCTTAGCAGTATCCTCCCTGAAAACAGTAAAACCCTGCCCGTCACAAAGTCTCTCTGTTATACACACAAAACCCATTACGGAAATCAGGCTGGCCTCATCCAGCTATATTTGTCCAACCTATTTTTAATGTTTACCCAAGTAATACTATTAATCCTTATACACATGTACAAATTAATTGCTCTACATATTGTAATTACTCCTACAACTTTTGTCACTACTACTACTACTACTACCTACTACTACTTCTACTACTACCACCACCCTAGTAATTGCAACCTCACACTGAGCCTATAATATACCCTCAGTGTCCATGTATTGTTTGTAATGGCTTATAATGCTCCTGGAGCAGTGAAAATGTTTCCACAATAAAAATGTCACATTAGTTGCACGTTGTGTCTTTTACTTTCATTATTGTCGGTAATTCTACCAACTTTATAGTAATTATTACCAGGAAAAGGGGTTACTACCCATTGTTCCCGGCATTTTGTTGACTTTTACAACGTGCATAGCTAACGGAGGAAAGTTTCTTATTCCACTTCCCCATGGATATAAAAGGAAAAGTAATAAGACCAAGAACTAAGATAAATCAAGAAACCTCAGATGAATGGTGTATAAAGAAACCGTGTACATGTATATGTTTAGTGTTGACCTCATGTAAGTAAAGTAGGCAAGATTGTACCCTGTAATTTTGCATATTATGAGACAGACAAAAGACACCAGCAATCTTACCATCATGTAAAACAATTACAGGCTTTCGTTTTACACTCACTTGGCAGGATGGTGGTACCTCCCTGGGTGGTTGCTGTCTACCAACCTACTATCAATGTTATTATTATTATTATTACTACCAATTATTATTATTATTATTACAATATAAATAATTTGAAATTTTTATTCATACATCAAATATAAGATTGCAATAATTGTATAAATAATGTCAACCCATTCATGACTGTATATTGGACTGGACAGTGACGTGTCATTTGTTTACTCTAGAACATAGCCAAGCAATCGAACATTTCTCCTACATTGAGCTCAATTTCAAGGTACTTTTTGTCGTGAAAGCAATCAAAATCACATCTATTTTTGTAATATATCTTCCATTCTATCAAATGAGACCAAAAAAACGAGAATACAAATATAAAAACCATATGAGAAAATACCACTAAGGGACGGCTAATTGCTGAGAAGTGAACTCCATTATTTATGCTCCGATTTCTTTCATTTTTGGTGTACGTTAAGAGCATCTTTCCATCAACCTTGCCCCAAGTTTCCAATAGATAGTCCAACAAACAAATGAGATACAATTCCCTAGATCAAAAGCAAGAGCCCCTCACTAGCGTCAAGGAACCTGCCTTGAGGTCTGCTCACTTATGGAAATTTTGCTCGCGTATGGAAGCTAAAAATCGAACTATCGACGCTTGTATTTGTAAAAAATCGCTGTGGAAAGTGCTCGCAAAAAAGTAAAGGAGGTACCACTGTATTTGCTTCACTCTTTTGTATCATATGAACCGACGCTTCATTAAGGCCATAAGCTCTTGCCATGTCCACCACACAGGCACCACATATATGCTTATGTAATATCTCGATTTTGTTCATAACTCCAAGACTTGAACATTTTAACTTTGTCTTGCCACTTCCTGCATCACTTGCATGCCTCATGGGTGATAGGGTTCTTTGGCAGATGCAATGTATGGCAATGAAAAGACAATGCTTGGTACTGTACCAGACGTGTATATATGGAGCACTGGTATGGAGGTAGCAGGGTAGGAAACGAGGGCCTCCCCAGTAAAAAAGATAACCTCACCCACAGGCAGACTGCCTAGCAGGAAAATCCCCACCATCCAGCTTGCAGTGGTGAATTTTTTTTCCCACTGAGAAGCAGAACCATTTAAATTGAAGTGTAAAACAAAAATATGTTGCAATTTGACAGTAGTGTAATGGAGAAAACATTTTGATGAACATCAAAATGGTATACAATACTGACAGGTTGTTAGGTAAGACACATATGCAACAGTTAGGCAACTTTATTCCGAAACGTTTCGCCTACACAGTAGGCTTCTTCAGTCAAATACAGAAAGTAGGCAGGAACAGATGTGAAGACGATGTAATCAGTCCATCACCCTGAATCGTAGAATTTGAGGTTGTCAGTCCCTCAGCCTGGAGAAGTTCAGTTTCATATCAGATAGTTTCCTGACGATGAAACAGAACTTCTCCAGGCTGAGGGACTGACAACCTCAAATTCTAGGGACTTCAAGGGTGATGTGAAGACGATGTAATCAGTCCATCACCCTTGAAGTCGTAGAATTTGAGGTTGTCAGTCCCTCAGCCTGGAGAAGTTCAGTTTCATAGTCAGGAACTATCTGACTATGAAACTGAACTTCTCCAGGCTGAGGGACTGACAACCTCAAATTCTACGACTTCAAGGGTGATGGACTGATTACATCGTCTTCACATCTGTTCCTGCCTACTTTCTGTATTTGACTGAAGAAGCCTACTGTGTAGGCGAAACGTTTCGGAATAAAGTTGCCTAACTGTTGCATGTGTGTCTTACCTAACAGAAAACATTTTAAAGGAAACCATCTTAATCAACAGTCTACTGTATGTATCTATGCTTGATCAAAGGTTTTTATGTTACTTTTTTAATAGCATGTAGGTAAGCTGAATACTGGATAATTACCATATTTTTTTTTGCAGCGAGTGCTGGAGAAGGAGCAAGATGAAACTGAGACACAAGCAGAGGAGTGGGGAAGCTACCTACTTTTATTAGTAGCACTGTGTCTGCCTCCTAGCACTGTAATTACTTTGCACATAGACTTACTTATCACAAAGATCTTTCAAACTGTGGAGAAAAGTAAGTTGAAGATCTGTGGATATTGCAGTGTACCTTTTTGTATTGTAGGCTCTATGAAGACTGGAGTAGTAATTACAGTGAAATACACCCTGCCTAACAGAAGGAGACTGAGATAGGAGTTTGAAAACTACAACAATGCTATGGTTGACATTATAGCAGAAGCATTTGGTAGTACACATAAGGCTACTTATCATGAGTGATATCAGTTACAAGAAAACAGATTAGGTGAACTAGAACCTATGTGAGGGACCGAAAAGTTGGAAAGGTAAGTTGACGAAGGTGGTTAGGGAAAACTTTGTGTCAGCATGTTAAGGACACGAAGAGGAGACGAGCCAGCAAGACTGGATCTAGTGTTTACTGCAAAGTACACCAGAAATGGGCAGTATAAAATGAAAAACCCTAGTCACTAGTGACCATACAGTACTGAACTTCAAGTATCTTGTGGAATTTAACCCTTTGAGGGTCGACAGGCCCTCTCAGAAACTAGTTCTCAGGGTCGGCCAAATTTAAAAAAAAAAAAAATAATAATTTTTTCTTATGAAAAGATAGAGAATCTTTTCCCGATCACAATGACACCAAAATTATGAGATTTGATGGAAAACTTACGGAATTATGCTCTCGCGAAGTTAGCGGTCTTGGCGATGTTTACGCATCGGCGATTTTGCCAACTTTGAGCCCCATTTTCGGCCAATTCCACTGTACTAGTCGACAAAAAACATGAATATTTCGCTAGAACTACATTTTTTCTATTGAATAAGTGCAAGAAACCACCCATTTATGATTTTCAACTATCCAATACAGTGGTCAGAATTTAGCAATTTTGCCAATTTCACACAAATTTCAAAAAATGCCAATTTCCTAATAGGGTCCAGAACAAACAAGAAATACATTCCTGGCACTAAAATGACATTTCCTCTGTTCATTAGTCGTGTCTCAAGGCCCCTCTTACATTCTTTTGCTTTCCACTTTGAATTTTTATTCTCACAAAAAATAGAAGATTTACTGTTATGCAGACTACTGCATTAGTGTAAAAAAAGGTATAAATCATATTGGCGCACTTGCAAAAGAATATTAGACTCGCCAGTTGACGTGTATTGGACGCTTGGCATGATTTGTTTACTTTTGAACTTTGGTAAAAATAGAACATTTCTGCTACTTTGAGCTCAATTTCAAGGTACTTTTCATTGTAAAACCAGTCAAAATCATCTTAATTTCTGTGATATGCCTTCCATTCTATAAAATGAGACCAAGAAAACTAGAATACAACAATAAATACCATACGAAAATACAGTGCAAAGTCGCTGTTTTATTCCAAAAAAACGGTCCAAGTTTTTTTTTTTTCTCATTATGCACTGTGTGCTGCAGGATTTTTTTTTATACCATGCACACTGACCACATAGACCCATTCTTTCATATGGAGGCCTACCAGCCTTTTCCCGCGAGATTTGATGGCGCTAGAATTTGTGTACTAGTACGTCAAAAACCCCTGCGCGTAAGACGTACTAGTACGTCCAAAACCCTCAAAGGGTTAAAAGAAGAGGGGAAAATGGTGGACTTTAGAAGAGGAAACTTTGAAGGGATGAGGGAATTCTTGAATGCAGTACACTGAGAAATGGAACTAGGATAATCAGTGGTGGAGATAATAATGAGTATCTAGCTGGAAATAGCAGAGACAAAGAGAGACCTTGTTTCAGTCGGAGATACAGAGGCAAAAATGAAGTATAAAATCATGGAAATGCTATAGAAAGTGGACAGACGAGAAAAAATGAGCAAATTAACCACAAATGAATGAGGTGAGAGGCTTAGTGACAATTAGAGAATGACGTATCAGCAAAGGCCAAATCTGAACTAAAACTGCTTCACAATTATATCAGAAGAAAGATGACAATAAAAGATCAGGTAATTTGATTGAAGAAGGTAAGAGGAGAGCTCATGAATAATGACAAGAAAATCTGCTGTGTGTTGAGCAAACAATTTTAAGAAATCTCAGTGGAGAGAGAGGAAATAGGGGTATTGCCAGAAGACCTACGGGAAAAGAGCACCAGCAGGTACTGGATACCATGCACACAACAGGGTAAGAGGTAAAACACTTATGATTGGCCTGGATACATCAAAGGCAGTGGAACCAAACCATTGCCTTTGATGTACTCAAACCATTAGCTATGGTCTACAAGTCAGTGGATATGGGACAGCTGCCAGAAATTTGGAAGAAAGCGAATGTAGTCCCTATACTATTTGAGAAAGGAAACAGGCAGGAAATGCTGAACTACAGACCAGTTTCACTGACATGCATGCCATATAGGGCAGTGGAGGATTAAATTATGAGAAGAGAAGCAGTTTGATAAATAACCAGCAAGGGTTTGGAAATAGTAAATCTTGTCATGTCAATTTGTTGAAGTTCTGTGACGAAATAACAGAAGCGAAACAGGATGTGCATGGATTGCATCTTATATTGCATGAAGGCATTTGCTATTGTACTCCATAAGTGAATTACACAAGATAGACAGAAACAGATAGAGACAGAGATGGACATAGACACAAACAAACGGAGCCAGGCCGCCAGCCAGCCAGCCAGCCGGCCAGCCAGCCAGCCAGCCAGCCAGCCAGCCTGCTGAACAAGTATTACGTTCCAAAATTGTTTCTCTTTACTTAGGGCATAGGTTATAAGACATTCTGAAATGGTGTTGATATTTCCTCGACCACTTATGGCCATGTCCACCTCAAAGCCACTAAACTCGGGGTCAATATCACTTTCCTCTTAAAATGGGAGAGTTGATACTACATGAAATCAGTGAATCCCAGGTGTTTGCCGCACTGTTTGCTCTAGCTGGTGCTCATTTGAACCGGTGCTTTCAGAAGGTACTAAATGGTCCCAGATTTTTTTTAATACAGTGCACACTGAGTGTTAAGACCCATTCTATGCTGACATGGCATCTCGGGCCAATAGTGCCATTTTTGAAGGCAGGAAAAATAAAACATCAATATACATTTGGACCATTTATGGGTTAATAGTAACTTTTATGAAGGGTTTCAGGGAAACCGGTTATCCTGGAGGTAGGAAGGGCAGTTTGTGAGATCTGAAGAAGGGATGGGGATATTGCAGTTAGAGGGGCAGTCTGAACTGTGATGTTTACCTGGAGTTTACCTGGAGAGGGTTTTGGGGGTCAATGCCCCCACGGCTCTGTCTGAGATCAGACCTCATGGTGGATCAGGCAGTAGCAACAGCCTGGTTGATCAAACCCTGATCCACTATGAGCACACTTCTGGAAAGGCTGCAAGTGAATGAACGATGGTGAACATGTTTTCTTCTTGGTGCAAGACAGCCAGTGAGGTAAAGAAAATACATTGTCTGTTTGAGATTATGAAACTTATAATTGTCAGAATAAGGTTGTAATGTCTTTTGAGAACTTAATTTTTCTAATTATCATTTACACACTCTCATGTGTCTGTTTGTTATCTTCATTAGAAATAATGTCTCTGTACAGGTTGGCCATCACTAATCTGGCATCATCGGGACCTGTAGAGTGCCGGATTAGTGATTTTGCCAGATTACAGAGTGGTTAGGATAGAATACGCTTAACCCAACTGCGAGATATACACGTTGGTGATATCACCCACTTTACACCCTATTTTTGGCCCATTCCATTGTTCCAGTCTACCAAACTCATAGCTATTTTGCTAGTATCCCTTTTATTCTGTCAACTGAGTACAAGAAACCACCCATTCACCTATTTCAAATACTCAATAAAGTGGTCAGAAATTGGTAATTTAGCCAATTTCACACAAATTTTATAAGATGCCAATTTCAAAATAGGGTCCAGAATAAACATTGCAGACCTTCCTGGCACTATAAAAACATTTTCTCTGTTCATTAGTCATGTCTCCAGACACCTCTTATATTATGCTTTCTTTCAATTTTGAATTTTTATTCACACAAAAAATAGAAGATTTACTGTTATGCAGACTACTGCATTATTGTAATAAGTGTATAAATAATGTCAACCCATTCGTGAATGTGTATTAGACCGGCCAGTTGGACACGTATTGGATGGTGACGTCATTTGTTTACTCTTGAACATCAGCAAAAATCAAACATTTCTGCAACTTTGAGCTCAATTTTAACATACTTTCCAGGATGAAACCAATCAAAATTATATCTGTTTCTGTAATATGCCTTCTATTATATCAAGTGAGGCCAAAAAAACGAAAATACAACCATACAAGCCATACAAAAATACACCACACAGTTGGGTTTACACCATAAACACAGTCGCAGTTTTTTTCCTCATTATGCACTGCATGCTGAAGGATTTTTTTTATACAGTGCACACTTACCACACAGACCTACTTTCTCATATGTAGGCCCAAATTTACCGATCACAGCTTATCTGAGTGAGCTAAGCTCATGGTGACCAACAGTGGCTTCAAAGCCACTTTATCTTTTATGGACAATGTACGGTGTATGTGCTTTACACAATGAGAAACATTTCTTATATTTATTGGAACCATGGTTAGGGCAGGTTATAACAATAAATGGAGAAAAAGAATTGGAATGACTTATGCAGCAAGTAGCACCAACAAACAGTAGTGGCAGATTGGTGTGGTGACTCTGGAAATTTGAAATTATGCTAGCTGAAATTAGTGCTGGATTATTGATGGAACCGGATTACTGATTGCCGGATTAGTGATGGCCAACCTGTATTATCTTTGTATACATACTTTGTTTTTTCTTTAACATGTTGGCTGTTTCTCAAAAAAGGCAGGGTGACCCAAAAAGAAAGAAAAATTCAAAAAGAAAGAAAAACTTTCATCATCATTCAACACTTTCACCATCATTCATACATAATTACTGTCTTTGCAGAGGCACTCAGATACTACAGTTTAGATGTCATTCCAAACAGCCAAACCCCTCCTTTGTTCCTTAAACTGTCCAAAAGTAGATATACATTTGCTCGCATAGCGCTCTGAACATAGATCACCGTTTTATTTTTCATTTCTTCAAAATTGGGGCAATAGGCCTGAGTCGCCTAAACACGAGAGAATGGGTCTTAACACTCGGTGTGCGCAGTATTAAAAAAATCTGGGACCACTTAGTACCTTGTGGGAGGGCCAGTTCAATTGAGCACCAGCTAGAGCAAGTAGCATGGCAAACACCAGGGATTTGCTGATGTCATATCGTATTAACACTTCCCTTTTAAAAGGAAAGTGAAAATAGGTTAGATAAATACAGTGGAACCCCAAGTTTCAGCTGCCCTGAGTATTGGCCGCTTCGAGTTTCGACCACTTTTTTCGGCTAAGTTTTGTCCCGAGTTTCGGCTGTTGCTCCGTGTTTTGGCCGGCGTACCAGACCTGTCTGCCTGCCTGCGCCTATGTGCCTCCCCATGCAGGTGTCGTGAGCCAATCTAGCTTTGTTTATCCTTGAGTGAGCATTACTCTAAGTGCTCATCCGAACATTTCACAATAAATTCATTGTGTTTAGTGCTTGTTTATTGATTGTGACTGTGAAATAAGCCACCATGGGCCCAAGGCAGTGGTTGAGGCAATAATAAGTCCTCCCTCTCTCCTCTTCCTCTATCTTTGATATGCCAACAAGAGTCTTCAATAAAGGTACGTAAATGTGATTTTAAATGTTTATTTAAATGTTCATTTATTTATTGTATTACTCATTTAATACTATATGTATGTTTTAAGTACTATATATCTGTTAAACTATAGTTATTCTTTAAAAAATGTATTTTTGTGGGTCTGGAACGAATTAATTGTATTTATGTACATTATTTCTTATGGGAAATATTGCTTCGACTATCGGCCATTTCGAGTTTAGACCTAGCTTCTGGAATGGATTATGGCCGAAACTTGGGGTTCCACTATACCTGAGTGGGTGTGGGTGGGTGTGAGTTGGACCTGACTAGCTTGCACTACTAGGTCTGATGCTATGCTCCTTCCTTCAGTGGATGTGACCTGACTAGGTGAGTCATTGGTCTTAGCTGGGGGGTGACATGGACCTGCCTTGCATGGGCCACTAGGCCTGCTGCAGTGTTCCTTCTTTCTTATGTTCTTATGTATTCGGCTGGCTGGCCGACTGTCTGGCTGGCCGACTGTCTGGCTGGCCGACTGTCTGGCTGGCTGGCTGGCTGGCTGGCTGGCTGGCTGGCTGGCTGGCTGGCTGGCTGGCTGGCTAGCTTTGCTGTCTCTGGCTGTCTGTCTATATCTATCTCTGTCTCTCTCACATGTACACATAAGTACAGTTATTATACATAGTGTAAATTACCTAGGATAACCCAAAAATTCTACGCAAAGTGCTATTCTGTGCTTGTAGATATAAGACATAAATAACCATGATGGAATATGCATTTTTACTTGCTCAGGAATCATGGAGCGGCTCGTAACCCAACAGTTTTATGAGCCGCTCCCTGAGACAGACAAGCAGATGGAAAGACACACCCACACAGGCAGACAAAGACAGATAATCAGAGCTAGACAGACAAATAAGCAGAGCTAGACAGACACAGACAAATAGACAGACAGACATGTTTGTGTGTAACAGGGAAAACAAATAAAGCGAGGGTTCCCTGAGTGCACATTCATCAAGTGTCACTGCCTGTCAGCAGTTTACTGACACTTGTTATAACACCATGCTTCAAGGTATACTCCAGCATGTCTAAAACATTGCTGGGACCTATAAATACTTTGTATATATTTCTAGACAATAGTAAATGACCGAGGCAGGTGAAAATGTTCACCTGCCAGTGTAATTGTGACTATATTTGAGTACTATTTCAGTACCTAATATTAGTGTGAGAACAAAGATTTGCTATAAAATCACAAGAACTATTATAAATTGTAATTATCAGAACATAAAAAATTATATAAATTAAAATAAAAACGAGAAAAAAGGAATAGCAGCAACACTTCTGCAAGCGCCAGGAGTTGATGTTGCTATCAGGTGAGCATCCAGCGCCAACTTCACGGGCTTATATCTCGGTAAGTACTAACCCTAATTTTTTTTTTATCGTATAACATGTAGAAAAATGCACTCTTCATTTAGAAAAAGAAAAATCCAAAATATTCAGAGAGCTACGTGAGTGAACGTAGATCTACGTTTGGACAGTTTAAGGGTTAAAGTGCAGGCATTGTACTTTTCACCTCCAGGACTCAAGTCTGTCTAACCAGTTTCCCTGAATCCCTTCAGTTATGCTATGCATAACCATGGCTAGTTTCAAATGTCATTCAGTTTTGCAAAACTATATACTACAGTAGTCCCCCCAAATTCATGGGGGTTACATTCCAAGACCACCCACGAATTTGGAAAAACTGTGAATTCTGGCTGCGGTTAAAAAAAAATGCCTATAAATGCCTATTTTTATAATTTAAACCCAAAATATACCCCAAAACACTTTAATTTAATTTCAAGCTCAGCTTCTTACGTCACCCTTAAAAAAAAAAAAAAGATGTAAAGATAAACCTGTATACAGTACTGTACTGCTATGTCTCCTGCAGTGTTAAAATGTAAAATATCGATGTTGCCCCCAAATGTACTGTAATTTGTGCAAGCCCATTTTCTTTGGTATACAGTAATTCATGCAGCCCCATTTTCTTTGGTATACGTATGGTAAAAATAAAGTAATAATTTAATTTTTGCTGAATTTACATTAATATTTATGTTACAAAATTATAAAGTTATATTTTTCTTAATATTTAGCATTGAAACGCATAAAAAATCATATATTGCCACGAGAAAAGCCCCCCAAAAATTCCATGAATTTGCAGGGATTTACATGAACAATTATTAGTTAGGTTCTAAGGCAAAATCCGTGAATTACTGAAGTCGCAAATTTGGAACCACGAATTCGCGGGGTCCACTGTATTGGATCTTGTGAAAATAAAAGTTTGTTTGTTTTAATTGTCAGCATGAGCTCTTAAAGCTCTTTGACTCAATTTACAGTTGTCAGCATGAGCTTATAAAGCTCATTAAATTGTCAGCATGAGGTTATAAAGCTTTTTGATTCAACTGGCTGACACATTCATAACATTAATAATTTCTTCTTTGAGTGGCATTTCAGTAAGGTATCTCTTTATGAGTTTCTGCCATAGTTCTAAAGAGTAACTAGAGATACTCTCTAGTTACCACTTTAATACATTTGGCTAAAGATTAGGAGATTAAAGAATTACAAAAAAATGGAAATTTGGAGATTACATTTTAAAAAGAAAAAGTTTTGTTTTTCTCTTTAGGTCACCCTGTTTTGGTGGGGTATGGCCAGTTTGTTGACAAAAAAAAAAAATGAATTCTTACTAATACCTACAGTGTTATTTTACCACAGGTCATACAAGCCTCTCATTGCCATGTATGATGAATGATGTGATGTATGGAGGGCGGCCTCAGAGCAAAGTTACTTTATACGAACATGTGCTGATTCACACTTGTGCTTTGGTGGCCACATTGGAAGCTCAGCATTTTGAAGCCTTGGAACAAGTTCTTGTCAAGTGGTTGTTAAGTGGACAACCTTGGCCAGCACTTCTGGCTATAGATGTCTGGTGCTTTGTTGCAAGGTACAGTGTTATCTACATTTCTCCGTTTCCAAGCATTAGAATTTTCCACGTGTACACTATGTGGATAGTCACTGTGGTAGTGGCACAAAGGTAGAGAGACCAATGCAGTTTCACACACTGTGTGGGCAAAATGTTGTCACTAAAGGAATCCATATAGTTGCTTTTGTGTGTGTCTGCCATATGGTTTGGGCTGGTGGAATTAATTTTCTGCATATACATGTATAGTATATGTCTGCTCATCCAAATTCCTGCCATTTGAAAATTTGCGCTGCCCAAAATCAGCTTTAAATTAAAAAACTGAAAATTCATTAATTCAATGTTAGTAATGTTAAAATTTCATCAGGAATTAGTAGCATTGCAGTACCCTTGAAGTAATGGTTTATATACATTGTTTTATTTAAAACATTGTTGTTTAATATCTCCATCGGGAAGAGGAGAAGCTATGCATGTTGTAAGAGGCGACTAAAATGCTGGCAGCAAGGGGCTGGTAATTCCTTTCATTTCTTCTTTTTCAGGTCACTCTGCCTCAGTGGGAGACGGCCAGTGTGTTAAAAGAAATTTAGTATGTCCCCATGATTAACCTTAAAAATGATCTTGCAGTAGTAATTGCAATCTTATGAAAGAAAAAGAATTGTTCTAGGAGGGAGGTTAATAGGGTGGTGAAGCAATGTAAAAAGAGAGCAAATGAGAGAGTGGGTGAGATGTTATCAACAAATTTTGTTGAAAACAAGAAAAAGTTTTGGAGTGAGATTAATAAGTTGAGGAAACCTAGGGAATGAATGATTTGATAGTTAAAAATAGGAGAGAAGAGTTATTAAATGGAGAGTTAGAGGTATCGGAAAGATGGACGGACTATTTTGAGGAATTGTTAAATGTTGATGAAGATAGGAATCTGTGATTTCATGTATAGGACAAGAAGGAATAACATCTTGTAGGAGTGAGGAAAAGTCCATGGTAAATGGTCCAAACGTATATACAGGTCCTCCATCACAAATCCAGCATCATTGGGATCTGTAGTGTGCCAGATTACTGAGTTTCCTGGATTACAGAGTGGTTAGGTTAGAATACACTTAATAAAATTGACCAACTTGACTTACACAGTTCGTTGAACATTGGCAAAAATCGAACATTTCCGCTACTTTGAGCTCAATTTCAAGGTACTTATCGTGAAAGCAATCAAAATCATGTCTATTTCTGTAATATATCTTCCATTCTATCAAACGAGTCCAAAAAAAAATGAGAATACAACCATAAAAACCATACGAAAATATACTGCAAAGAGGCGGCTAATGGCTGAGAAGTGAACTCCCTTATTTATTGTCCGTCTTTTTTATTTTTGTTGTATGTTAAGAAGCATCTTTCTATCATACATTGCCCAAGTTTCAATGAGATAGCCCAACAAACAACCGAGAAAAAAAATATTTACCAAAAGTCATATATGGCAAGCCCAGGCCAGGTACTGGAAATGTCACTTTCTGACTTTTTTGGGTTATCCTAGGTTCTCTATACATATGCTGCTATGTATGATAATCTATGTAACTGTATTTGTGTATACCTGAATAAACTTATTTACTTCTAGTCTGTCAACTGAGTACAAGAAACCGCCCATTCACTTATTTCAACTACCCAATAAAGTGGTCAGAAATGCAATTTGGCCGATTTCACACAAATTTCAACAGATACCAGTTTCAAAATAGGGTCCAGAATAAACAATGCAGACATTCCTGGCACTAAAATAACATTTTCTCTGTTAATTAGTCATGGCTACAGGCACCTCTTATATTACTCTTGCTTACCATTTGGAATTTTTATTCACAAAAAAAATAGAAGATTTACTGTTATGCAGACTGCTGCATTATTGTAATAATTGTATAAATAATGTCAACCCATTTTTGACTCCGTATTGGAATTTGGACTGGCAGGCGGACAGGTATTGGACGGTGACGTTTGTTTACTCTTGAGCTTCGCTAAAGAAAAGAACATTTCTGCTACTGTGAGCGCAATTTCAATGTACTTTTCATCATGAAAGCAATGAAAATCATATCTATTTCTGTAATATATCTTTCATCCTATCAAATGAAATGGAAAAAATGGGAATATAACCATAAAAACCATACAAAAATATACCACTAAGCGGCCGCTAATGGCTGAGAAGTGAACTCCGCTATTTATGGTCTGATTTCTTTCGTTTTTGGTGTACGTGAAGAAGTATCTTTCCATCATACATTGCTCAGGTTTCAATAAGATAACCCAACAAACATCTGAGAAAATGATAATAATATAATAGGGATATGTTGATATGAGGGATATGTTGTGTATCTTTATACGTATATGCTTCTAAACTGTTGTATTCTGAGCACCTCTGCAAAAGCAGTGATAATGTGTGAGTGTGGTGAAAGTGTTGAATGATGATGAAAGTATTTTCTTTTTGGGGATTTTCTTTCTTTTTTGGGTCACCCTGCCTCGGTAGGAGACGACCGACTTGTTGAAAAAAAAAAAAAAAAAAATCTTTATTTACTACACGTACATGTACAAAGTATACAGGCCTAACTGACATCAGTGACATACTACTATATAGAAAGCCGCTTGTTATGCAGAGTATTTTAAGCAAATTAGGTCATTGTCCCAGGATAACACCCACACTAGTCAACTAACACCCAGGTACCCATTTACTGATGGGTAAACATAGACAACAGGTGTAAAGAAACATGCCTAATGTTTCTACCCTGGCTGGGAATCGAATATTTATCAAAAATCATATAAGGCTAACCCAAGCCAGGTACTAGAAATAAGCCACGTTGACTTTTTTGGGTTATCCTAGGTTCTCTACACATATTCTGCTATGTGTGATAATCTATATAGAGAAAATAACTTTTTTGTTTCAGGTTTATGGTGGAGTACAAGTGTATGTCACAGTTGGCCCTGTGCTATACTCTGTTTTCTCTAATATAAGCCCCAAGACAGGGATTGGAGAATGGTATTTGTATACCATATCCTCTTCTTACCTCCGTCAAACTGCTCGGTATTATGCCAAATATTATTCATTCTGGAGTATTTAACATGTTTTATGTTATTTATATTATTTATTATGTCATATTAGATCAGTTGTGATAGGCAAATAAGCTGTAGTGTTGATATTAGCGTAATAATCAAGCATATTCTCCTGCATCATAAGACTGAGCTCAAGCCAACCGACAGTGGCTTCAAAGCCACCTTATCTTTAATGGACAATGTACTGTGTAGGTGCTTTACATAATGAGAAGCATTTCTTTTATTCATTGGAACCATGGCTAGGGCTAAAAGTAAATGGAGAAAAAGAAATTGGAATGACTTATGCAGCAAGTAACGCCACCAAACAGTACCAGCAGGTTGGTGTGGCGACCCTGGAAATTTTAAATTATGCTAGACAAAATTAGTGCCAAATAACTGAAGGAACCGAATAGCTGATTGCCGGATTTGTGATGGCGAACCTGTATACGTTCTTACCGCTAGCGCCCCAAACATATACACTTACCATCAGACTTACGACAGAGCTTGGTTCTGACTTACGAGTCGTAAGTCAAAATGGATGTAAGTTGAACCTTACTACTGAATATCAGCTTCACATTATGTAATGATTTTATTTTATTGTTTTATTTGTGTGCACCTACCATCCAACTTACGACCGAGCTTGGTTCCGACCAACCGGTCGTAAGTCAAAATGGACGTAAGTCGAACTTTACTACTGAATATCAACATCACATTTTTGAAATGACTATTTTATTGTTTTATTTTGGTATTCCATTTTTTACTTTACATTTTATGCTGTTAGTACAGTGGACCCTCGGTTCGCGATATTAATCCATTCCTGAGAGCTCATCGTAAACCAAAATTATCGGAAAGCGAATCAATTTTCCCCATAAGAAATAATGGAAATCAAATTAATCCGTGCAAGACACCCAAAAATATGAAAAAAAAACTTTACCACATGAAATATTAAGTTTAATGCAATAGAATAATTACAATAACAACAATAACAATAGAATAATTGACACTTACCTTTAATGAAGATCTGGTGATGATTGATGGGATGGGAGGAGGGGAGTGTGTGGATGGTGTTAGTGTTTAGAAGGGGAATCCCCCTCCATTAGGACTTGAGGTAGCAAGTCCTTTTCCGGGGTTGAGAGTCACTGGGCTTGTGTCGCACAACATATCTGTCCATAGAGGCCTGTACCTCTCGTTCCTTTATGACTTTCCTAAAGTGGTTCACAACAGTGTCATTGTACAGGTTGCCAACACGGCTTGAAGTAGCTGTCTGAGGGTGATTTTCATCAAAAAAGCTTTGCACTTTAAGCCACATTGCACACATTTCCTTAATTTTTGAAGTAGACAATTTCTTCAATTTCTCTATCTCCTCCTCTGGAGCAGTTTCCTCAAGTCAGGCCTCTTGCTGTTGAAGATGATCTAGCAGCTCATCAGTGGTTAGTTTGTCATTGTCCTCCTCCATCAACTCTTCCACATCCTCCCCACTAACCTCCAACCCCAAGGACTTCCCCAATGCCCAATGAATTCCTCAACTGGCATAGGCTTCTCAGGGTTAGCCTCAAACCCTTCGAAATCCCTTTTGTCTACACATTCTGGCCACAGTTTTTTCCAGGCAGAGTTCAAGGTCCTCTTAGTCGCTCCCTCCCAAGCCTTACCAATAAGGTTTACACATTTGAGGATATTAAAGCGATCCTTCCAAAACTCCTTTAGAGTCAATAGAGTATCTGTGGTCACTTCAAAGCACCTTTCAAACAGCTTTTGTGTACAGTTTCTTGAAGTTAGAAATGACCTGCTGGTCCATGGGCTGCAGGAGAGGAGTGGTATTAGGAGACAAAAACTTGACCTTAATGAAACTCATGTCCCCAGAAAGTTGCTCTGCCAAGTCTGTAGGATGACCAGGGGCATTGTCTAATACCAGGAGGCACTTAAGGTCTCATTTCTTTTCAACTAGGTAATTTTTCACATTGGGGGCAAAT